CTCCCTCGGCCCAGTTCCCACCGCCGCCGCCGCCCGCCCACCGGCTGGCCCTCGCCACCTTCCTTCCCCTCCCCTCGAAGCGCCCGGGCGGCTGGCTGGTCCGGGCCCTCCCGGAGCCCCGGGGACTCTCGACGACTGTCCGGGCTTCCTGTGGCGCCGAGGCGGTGGGTGAGTGGAGCCGTAGGGAAGGAGTGTCCACCTCTGCACGCCTGTGCATCTAAAGGGCCGTCGTGGGGGGGCACGTGAGGCCCTGAGGGGCCAGGGTGGTGCGCGCCGTTGCAAGCCTTCACCGTCCCCCGCTTCTTTCCTTCCCTTCTCTCCCCGCCTACCCCCACACCCCACCCCTCAGTTCATTCACTGTCCGCCTGCCCACCGCCCAGAGAATCTTCGCGGTGTCGCCCCAAACGTCTGGGGCAGCCTTGGACGCTGGTTGACTGACTGCACGATCTCAAGGTAGCTGGGGCCCTCCCTACCCTGGAAGTTTTCCCACCACTTACTCCTGCCAGACCAGAGTTGAGTGGACTGGAAGGCAGGAATTCCTCCCCCGGAATCCACCCCAGCCCCAGGTCACCCCCAGAGAGGTGTTGTTATTCACACACATTCTCACAAATGCTAATGAACACTTCTCAGATGCAAAGGACCCCTTCTCTGACAGCGGGGAGGGGTGGGGAGGGCAGACCAGGCCAGTTCTGCCCAGGCCAGGGTGCCAGGGAGTGATTATCTGCCTATGGGGATCCACCCTGGCCAACCTTATCTAGAGGCTACATTCAGAACCAGCCCCAGAATTAGGAGGAAAAAGGGTCCCCTACTGGCTGGGAGTCCACTGCCTAAACCATGAAATACTACTTGGCAATTAAAAAGGGTGAGGCAAGGACGTTGGCTACCACCTGCTCAGGCCTTAGAGGCTTTGTGCCTGAGTGAAAGAGCCAGGCACAAAGACCCTGCGCCTCCATTCACCTGCCGGTGGAGAACATGCAAATCCATCTAGGAGACAAAGTAGCTTAGGGACTTGGGGTGAAGGGCTTGAGGAGTGACCGCTGGACAGTCCAGGATTTCTTTGGAGATGTGATGAAAATATCCTGAAGTTTGATCTGGCAGACAGTAGCCAACTCTGAATATACTAAAAGCCCTGAATTGTAACTTGGACCAAACATGAGGGACATCTCATAAAATAAAACTTTTATTTTTTTACGATTTATTTATTAATGCATACGAGACCTGGGGTTAGGCCAGAGGTGCGGGCATGAGCACATTCACCAGAGACAGAGTGGGGAGCAGAACAGGCAGATCGACTGAAATATACTGCTGAGGGGAGCAGTGGGTGGGACAGCAGAGGTCTGCGGCGCCAAGTGGGTCAGCTCCAGGGCCGGGGATCAAACTCGTGCTGCGGTGGCTGCGGATGGCTGCATAGTGCTGTGCTTTTGACCTGTTGCGCCACCTAGGGGGGCCCCAAAACTTATTTCTTTTTAAAGGGGGTATCTTGGAAAGGACACGAGTGAGTGAGAAGGATCAGAGTAGCCAGGGCTGTGGGAAGTCCAAGGGGCTGGACTTGGTGGAAAGAGGAGTGAAGCACTCCAGAATTTTGACCCAAGCGACTCACTGGATGAGGGTGGTGCTGGCTCACTAGCTTGGCGAGGTCTGGGGGAGGCCTGCTGGGTGGGGAGTATTGGACAGCTATGTGCGTTGTGCTGCTCAGGCATCCAGGGGAGCTGGCAGGACTTGGCTGGATGAGGTGCCCCACAGAGTCCATGGGTCGGCCTACAGGTGTAGACAAGGCCTGGTGGCCACCAGGCCAGTGATAGCAGGACAGATGGGGCTGTTTTCTGAGATTGATACTAGGGGCAGCAGCCGGGGAGACACGCGCACAGCTCCCCCCCACCCCCCAAGTCCCAAGCTCTGGGACTTCTTGCACCTTGTCCTTATCTTTCACTGGGGGGCAGAGAGTAGGTGAGAGGTCACCTCTAGGCTGCCACAGCCACAGAACACGTGTGGAGGCCAACCAAGAAAGCCGAGACTCAGCGACTCCGGGACTCCACAGGGCTGGCTGGCCTGTTTACTTCTTCCCCTGGTAAAATTATATCTGCGTGAGCTAGGAAGCCCATTTGCAGAGAGAAGGAAGGGGTGTGTGTGTGTGTGTGTGTGTGTGTGTGTGTGTGTGTGTGAAGCCCATTTGCAGAGAGAAGGAAGGTGTGTGTGTGTGTGTGTGTGTGTGTGTGTGTAGATACATATCGATATGTTTAAATGTGC